TTGGTCTGCCTGTGAAAATGGAAGGAAGTGTCCACAGGCTAGGGAACCTAGAGCTATCAGAGGCTGAACTGTGCCTGGCTGGGCACTCACTCTGTTGGGCTCCTTTCAGCAAGACGAGTGTTTCTGGTTGCTCAGAGTCTCAGGCCCTCTCAGGTCCCTGAAGGCCAAAGAGGCTTCAGGGGGCTGGTGCTTGTGGTTGTAGAACTGCTTTTGCAGGTGCTGTCTAGCCACCCTGGAGCCTCTGGATAGGGGACCGGGGTCTCAGGCCTGTGGAATCAGGGCTTCCCAGGCTTGGCTGCTTGTTGTGGCACTCTACAAATATTTGGGGGGGCTTTATTCTGGGACAGCTTGCTTGTAAGATTTTTGGATGGAACCAGCACAGCCTGTAGGGTTAATTTTCCTGTTACTGAGCCAGTACCTTGAGTGCTCTACCCAAAGCATTGACTTTCCACTCTAGCTCATGGGAATGTGGACTCTCCTGGCCCTGTGTGAGCTCCAAGTGTCATGTTCTCTGCTCCTTTGGGTGGTGCTCTTCCAATCTCAGTGTTCTCATGAGCATACCTAGGACCTCTGCAGCCTGTCTGGTGTGGCTCTCTGCCCCTGGAGCCCCAGCACTCTTGGCTTCTCCAGTGCCATCATAACAGGGAGCTGCTGCTTTCCACCTGGGTGCCCTTTCAGAGCTAGGACCTGGTAAGTCTCACCCACTAATCACTGTCCTGCACTGCCTGATGTTCAGAATCTAAAAACTTCTCTATTGCCCCCAGGTTTTTGCTGATCTCAGGAAAGTAAATCCAGTCTTGTTACTCACATTGCAAGCACTAGTACCCTGTTCTTTTATCTTTCTTCTGATGGCTTGTCAGATTCCTTCTGCAGCCAGGGGAAAACCCTTTAGTTTGTCTCCATATCACTGATCTATTTTCTGTGTCAATCCTGTCCATTCAGATGTGGGCTTCATTGTTATTTCCTCTTCCAGCTCCTTTTCTGTATTTCATTTTTACCTTTGTAGCCTATTCTCTACTTGTGACTTAGTTAACTGAGTCAAAGACGCAGCTTGCTGTTTTCCTAAATGTGATTTTCCTCCAAGTTTTTTTGATCCTATACTTCATTTGTTATCTTTATCCTTAAGAGTGTCCTGGAGATTCTTTCTTTCTGCAGTATTTCTTCATAGGCCCTTATGCAAGCAATACGCTCTGTCCAGACCTGGCACCTGTCTTCTGATGGAAGGGTAGCTAGCTCAGTTAGGGGGCAGCAAATGCCCTGAGTGACTTACTGCCTGGGCTGGTGAGGGTGCCTACTTCTCTGGATGACTCTTTGAACAGCCTGCCTCTGACATACTTTTCTACATTTACTCATTAATGGCCTACCCAGCCATGCAGATAGAAGGTCCATATTCCAGGCATGGACCGGCCTGGGGAAGGGTGGGAATACATATGTAAGAAGTGCAGTCCCTGGCATCTGTGCTTTGGGAAACCTGGGCGGCGGGAGGTTCCTCAGAAGTGGCCACCTGCTGTAAGAGCAGAAAGAAGTCACAGTAGTGGCACCACAGGAACTGAATCTGGGATGAGCCCCAAGAAGGAAGCCAAGTGTCTCAGCAGAGTGGACATCATTCCAGGGCAGGAAAGCACTACTTTGAGGCCAGGGACCTTGGGTCAGTAGCTGGCGAAAATGAGGCTAGCAAGAGTGGACAGAGGTCTGATTACAAGGTGAAAAAGATGGACAGAGGTGTTTTAGAAACCTTTCTGGCAAGGCAGGGAGGGTCTGGGGAGTCCCCAAACCCCCAGCATGTTTTGGCCTCACCCAGATGTTGGGTAAGGGCTTCCTCCAATGACTGCATTTTCTGTCACACATTCTTACTGGTCTGGCAAGGCCCACAGCAAGTGCCATGGGGCCATGGAGACAGAACACAATCCGACTTGTGGCTGAAACCCTTCAAACAGGGAATACGGCTATTTACCTACAGTGCCGCACCCAGCTATGCATGGCCAGGGGAAGGAAGAACACAGTGAGGCCACTGAAGTTGGAACACTTTTTTTTTTTTAAGAGAGAGATGTTTGAGGATTAAATGAACTCTAAATAGGGCAAAGGGGAAAAGGGGAGGGAGGGGGCATAGGAATAGGAAATACAGTGGAATGCAATGATCATCATTACCCTAGTACATGTATGAAGACATGAAGAATATGACTCTACTTTGTGTACAACCAGATATGAAAAATTGTGCTCTGTATGTCTAATATGAATTATAATGCATTCTGTTGTCATAGAACAAAATTTAAAAAAAAATTAAAAATAAATAAAAAAGCCTTCCACTGATGGGCCACCTCAAAAAAAAAAAAAGAGAGACTTTTGAGAATACCCATGACGGGAACGAGACCAGACGGCCTTCTAGCACCATGCACAGCACAGCAGTCAGGATGGGAACTCCAGCGAGGCTGGACACTGAGGGGCGAAAACCCAACATAGAGCAGAGCAAGGTGGTCGCAGGAGGCCTGCCAGGCGCTCCACTGTCACCAGAGCAGAGAATAAAATGCCCCATGTGAGCTGTGGACCAAGGCTTGAAGGAACCTAGATGAAGCCCTGAGCCGCTACAGCTGCCACCTCAGCTGGAGACTGGTGCCTGCCTGTGTCTGAGGCCTGGTTCCCAGGGAGTCTCTCCTCTGGCAAGGGGAGGTTTTGGAACAAGCACTGTCATTTCCAAGCAGCCCTACTGAAAGCTAAAAAACAGTGCATTTACTGGAAGAACTCTGGATCTATGAATTTGACAATGAAAATTAATGAGCCCACCTCTGAGCTTTCTCAGGAGAGGATTCAGTTGTTTCTATAACTCAATGCGAATAAACGCACAGTCTCAACAAATCCAACACTCCCAGCAAAGGCTTTTTGAAGGACTTTTTTTTTTTTTTAATAAATGTTTTTCCCACTCAATAAATCAATTCTGTAACCCATGACCCAGCACAAGAAGGCAACAGCGATGGGTGGTATGACTCCTCTGAGCTGGCCTCCCTAAGCTGTCAAGGTATTTTTTCCTCAGGGCAGGGCATTAGGAAGGGCGGATTCACAGGTTTTCTCATTTTTCAAGTTCTTTGACGAAAGAATGGTAAACATTTTACTAAGACTATATTTTAGCATTTTACTTAGCACATTTTGTGAAGAATAGTGAAATCATAAACAAATCTAAGTTTCCAAGATGGAACATTTTTAAATGGATAAAGATGAGAACACCCTTGGAATGGATAGATGGTACGCAGCTGAGAAAGTCTCTGCTTGGAGACTATAATTGGCGGCCTAACACTTCTTGGAATTTTTACATGAAAAATAATTGCTTGATTTTATTATTTGTTAAATGTCTCATGTGCATAGGAATTTGTGATTTATTTTTAAACCTCTTGGGAAGGAAGGGAGTTTCTGCTCTGAGGAGTGCTCCTGCTGGTGCAGTGTGTAGGGGAGACCTAAGGAGAGACATGAGCCTCCCAGGACAGGCCCACTCACAAGTCATTCCTTCTAAGAGTGCTTGAAAAACACGCAGCTTGCACATCAAACTGTAAGTAGAGTCACAGAGACCCTGCAGAACACAGCCAGGAACAGGAGTTAGGAAACAAAGATCTGGATGTCCAAAAGCTCCATGTCCCCAAGGGCCTGCCACTTCAATCCACGTCTCGGGTGAGCCTCTAGGATTCCCATCCATGGCAGATCAGAAATTCACTATTACTAGTTGGTTGGGGGCATGTGGACCAGGGCCAGAAATGTGGCTTTGGCCTGAGAGTGGGGAGGAACCTCAAGATGCCAATAAGTCTGAAAGCCAGGGTCACAGTCACCAGCAGGTCCCAGGGAACTCATTGGTCAAGCACCCAGCACAGCACGAACTACTCACTGCCATGAGCTGAGACTGGGTATATTCTTTAGAGGTGGGGGAGGGCAAAATATCTCTGAAGGATTTCTCTTGGGCAGGATGAAATGACTCAACCATCTGAAACGTCAGTTTTAAAGAAAAAGTCTGACAATAAGCAAAGTGTTTTCCTATTGTGCAAATACCGTGAAGTCAGAACTAACAACTGACATGGCTTTCACTGTGGTCCCTTCCTACCCTGGGCATGTCTCCAAGAAACAATGAGCACTGGCACCAGTTCTCCCACAGAAGCACTCTCATGAGAGCATCCCTACCCACAATGCCTACCCTTCCTCCTCTGCACCCAGATGTGTGGCATGTTAGCCAGGGTCCACTCTCAAGTCTAAGGGTAAAATCCTGACGCTGACCTGCTGGATCTCCACCAGAGGTTAACCAAACAATCAGACATTCTGTAATTAAGAAAAGTCAAGTAAACCCCATAGATGGCAGACAGGGGCAACTCCAAAGGAGAAAGCTAGCAGTTAAACCTGAGTGTTAGACAGAAAATGAAATCAGACAAACATTTATTTTGCATTTGATTCTACTGGTTCAGATGTCTGAACGCTGGAATGAAGCCACCTGCCTCTCTTCAGGGCTCCTCCTCTGGAGTGCATTAAGCTGTCCACGTGTGGCACATGCTGCTGCTGAGCCATGACCCTCCAAGGCCTCGGAGGCTCACCCCAGATAGGCCCCAGAACCACAGCAACTCAGAGACGGCCACAGTACAGTCCCAAGAGTCCAGACACTGTCTGGGCTGATTCCCTCCTGAGTATCTGTCCTGTCTTGGGACAGTAAAAGCCTGGCTCTGACAAGCAGGGCCTGGCTGACACTCAAGTGACCACTCAGGACCACCATACCCCTCCCAGCCTGCTTCCTCTGGGCAATGTGTGAGAAAGGGCTCCCTGCCTTTTTATTTTTATCATCCAGATGTGGCTTCAAAGGGCTCTAAAATGTCCTTGCCACATCTGAATTGGAAAGCAAGAGCTGGTATTTAGGAGCCAGATTCCAGCTCATTTGGACAGAATGAGTGATGTCTTTCGTCATTACTTTGTATTTCTCTTCAATAGTTGCTTGACCCAACATCTATCTGCTCTATACAATGAAAATACAAACTAAATGAGAATAGAAAAAAATAATTAAAGCATTAAATTGTACAAATTACAAATCTGTTCCAAAATATACTTACATTAAATAAAATACGCATTTCAGTAAGATCTACAGTGAATGACTGTGCTCTGGGAAGCCTCACATCTGGGCAGGGCCAGCATTTGCGGGAGAAGCTAAGAGAATGTGCATCCAACCACAGTGTGCCATAGTTTCTTATTGTCAATCTGCAAATGACACTGGATACCCATCTGCTGGGGAAGGGGAAGCAAGCGCTAGCCTCAATGCTGAGCCCATTACTACTTCCCAGGAGTCTCACTGACAGCCTAGACAGCACAGTTTCAGAAAAGTGAACATGTTAAGGGAGGCAGACAACTCTTTAGAGGCCCAAACACGTTTCCTGCTGTATTTATGCTGCATTCCCCGCCTACGGTGGGCGGTCAGGAGGATGGTCTTCTTCAGGACAAGGTCACAGGACTGGGACAATCCCGTGGGATTGAGGGAGCGTGAGGACAGGGAGGAGGGCTACCTCGTGCTGCTTCACACTAGAGACAAACTGTGACACACAGTCCATGGGCCTGCAATCATCTCCTCTTATCATCTGGCATAACGCTTGATGTAGTCGTCCACCTTATTCCGGAAGTCCTCCTGTGGAGAAGAGAGAGAGTGTGCATGACTGAGGGAAGCAACGCTTCAGAGTCAGATGCCCCAGAGGGAAAGCCCCTGTAAGAGGCCTGGCTCATGACACTGCCTGCTGTGCTGGGGTGGGCAGAGACATCTGCAAACCCTGATCACACCTGGCCCACAAGCCAAGACTCCCTTGACCACAAACACAAGCATCAGCTGCTGCTCTTGGGGCCCTTGTTTCCAGATCTGCCTTCCAGAGTGGCTTTCCTGGACCTTCTGCCCACTTAAAACATGCTTATCTTTCATGGCTCACAAGTAGCCTAGCCCCAGCCTCAGGGTGACTGCACTGCCCAGAGGAAAGGTGGGTATGCTATGAAGTGCAAACTTCACACACAAGAAGCAGAGTCCATCTGGATGCCTAGGCATTTCAGGTGATAGTAGTGGGACTTGCATGGCCAGAATGACAGGAAAGCTTCAGATGTCTCTAGACCCACACGGCTGCCCTTACAATCCATAGGAGGCCCACATGCCAGGTCATCTCAAGCACCCTGGCCAGATGGCACGCCCCCCACCCCCCCGCACCCCGGGGTTTAATGCTTCCTCATCCACAGTGAGAACAGACCCCAGCCCCACTGCCAGCTGCTCAAGTGTGGGCCACATTCAGTGACAGCAACTTTACCAGCTCAGTTCCATTATGCTTTTCCCTTCCCCATGGGTGTAGATGCTTTGTTTCAAAATAAATAGTCTTCTTCAAGGGACATAGGCACCCATCTACACTGCCAGCAGGCCAGGCACAGTCACAGCCACAGAAAACAACCAGGTGAAAGCTACTCGAATTAAGGATGCATATCATCCTTGACCCAGTGACCCAGTTCTAGGACTCCCTTCTGTTGATATAAAACCACCAGTATTTCAGGTTGTATTTACAAAGGATATTTATTGAATTACTGTTCCTAGTTGGAAAAAAAAAAACTTCATAGGGAACACCAGCGAATGGTTTTTAAAAAATATGGTAGAGTCACTTCATAGAACATAAGGCAGCTTCTGAAATGAATGAGTGCTGGTTGATGCATTAATTGGGAGGGAAAAAGTTAATTAAGGACAAAAAGGAATGGAAGATTAAGAGTAAGAAACAAGACCACAATTCTGGGAAAAGGTCAAGCCCCATGTGTATGCATGAAAAAGCTCAGCAAAGGCTGTGTGAGGTGGAGGCAGCCTGCAAGAGCCCAGCAGTGGGGTCTACTGCTACTCGTTGCCAATGTGCCTGTGCTGTTAAACAAGGAGTCACTGCCTGTTACTAACACTCAATTTTACTAGGAAACCCCATCTAATAAAAACCACTTCTCTATGTAGGCAAACGCTTTCCCAAGGTCACACAAGTTTTCTGTAACACATTATATATATATAAATTGCTTTAACTTCCAGTCTTGCATTCCACCACTCTCAATTTCTCATTTGTGCAATCAAGAGATGGTAGTAATTAGGGCTGGGATGTAGCTCACAGGTAAAGCACTTGCCTTGCATGTGCGAAGCCCTGGGTTTGATCCCTAGTTTCAAAAAAGAAAAGACCAAAAAAAAAAAAGGTAGATTTGTCTTTTTACTATTACACCAACCTAAAAAAAAAAACCCTGTTCATGGCTCACCTTGTCCCGCAAATGATGTTCTGCAGCTTCAATATTCAGTGGATCATCAAAATTCAAAAGGTCCTTAAAAAGAGAGAAACTCAAGGTGAACACCGGAGAATCTGCTTGTCTGGTGTCACAGTCTTCACCCTACAAAGCAGCAACAAAACCTAATCAGCCACCTGCAGGCTCAGCTGAGTTGGGAGCACCTCTGAGTCCTCAAGCTCCTGTGGTGTCAGAGTGCTGGGCTGGCTGGTTCTCTGTGCAAAAAGATAGCTGACAGCTGATTGCAAGAGCTCAGGGGTATGTTATATACAACTGTCTAAACGTCAGTGGGAATAGAGAAAATAGCAACCACATTAACTTCATTAATTTCTGATATTTTTGATAAATGGAGAATGATAACCACTCGCACTGTGAGCATTTCTAAATAAAAAACCCATTCTGTTTTATAAACATTAATTTTCCCTTTATTTAATGATACCTTTGCCTCCAGGCACCTGTTGTTTATCTTCCAAACTTTCTGGATCTCCCTGTCTTTGACTCGCCTTCATGGACACCCACTCACAGGCTGGCGTCCCTGCCTCAGGGGAGCAGACTTTTTTTTTTTTTTAGTACCAGGGATTGAACTCAGGGGCACTCAACCGCTGAGCCACATCCCCAGCCCTATTTTTTTAAAAATATTTTTTTAGTTGTAGTTGGACACAATACCTTTATTTTTATGTGGTGCTGAAGATTGAACCCAGCGCTTCGCATGTGCTAGGCGAGCACTCTACCGCTGAGCCACAACCTCAGCACCCCCAGCCCTATTTTGTATTTTATTTAGAGACAGGGTCTCACTGTGTTGCTTAGTAGTGTCTTGCAGTTGCTGAGGCTGCCTTTGAACTTGTGATCCTCCTGCCTCAGCCTCCTGGGCCACGGGGATTACAGGCGTGTGCCACTGTGCCCGGTGGGAGCAGATTCTTGATACCTTAAAAAGCAATGGCCTACCCACTCTCCTCTCCTCCCAGAAGCACCTGGACTTTGAAGCAGAGGCCATATCTGAACTCCCTGTTCTCCTTGAAACTCAGGCCAGCAAGACTTGTAAGGTGTGCCCTATGATGGGTCATTGTAAGGACAACCATATTCCTCTTCAGGAATTATGTTAAATTTGGGGACTGCATTCCTGATTTGGAAATATATATGGGAATGGTGGATAACACGGTACAAATACAGCAAAAAAAAAAAAAAAAAAAAAAAAACCTAAGAATTGGAAAATTAGACTCCAAGTCCTAGACATAGGCAAAATATATAAGTACATACTATACGCAATACCTAGTATATATAAAGACTTCCCTTTACCATAGACCTCACCTAGAATGAAAATATTAGATGGAATAACCAATACAGACTTAAGTCACACTCTGACTGGCTCTTCAGGATCTGGAAGCTTTGAGCACTTGGAGATGGGGAGCCACCACCAGATTTCTCTAAATAAAAAGTCTAAGGAACTAATGTGCATTTCCTTCCACCAACTCCCCAGTACCAAGTCACCAGCCAAAACCTGCTTGTGGTTGAGGAACCTGGGACAGACAGGTGGCTCCAGAGAGATGCTTTTGGTGGTGGAGCAAATGACAGTGAGAGGGCCCCCAAGAGGTCTGCCTTAGTTCCTGCTCTCAGTGGCTCTCAGGCAAACTGAGGACACAAAGGCTCAACCCGACAGTCCCACTGCTGGGCTGACTTAAGATCATGCTCTCCCTTTGCAGCAACACAAATGGAACTTCATTTGCTTCATGAAGAAACCAACGCCTGCGACAGAGCCACGGGCACAGCCAGACTGTCCTGGGAGCCAAGTGCAGGCCACAGCCACAGGTGCTGCCTTTCCAGGGAGCAAGGAGCTCCGGAAATCACTGCAAGTGCTGGTCTCTTTGCTTGTGGGGCAGGTGTCGCCCAGGAACACAGACAAAAAGGCAAAGGTAGGCAGGGACGCTCAGCTCAGTATGAAGCTCTTGTCAAGAAGAGCAGCAGACCTGGCTGTGGCACGTCTGAATAGTGCATACACACAACAAGGGCCAGGAGGACACCCTGGCAGACTGTCCACGGCAGGTGTGTGTTCATAGAGGGTCCTGGGACTTTTCCAAAAGTAGAAATTATTTTTTATTCGGAGACATACCCCTGGATGCTTTGAAAGTTCTTCTCTGAATCAGAAAGTAAAGATTCAAAGAAACAAGTATATTTTAAAAAAATTTTGTTATACATGGACACAATACATCTATTTTGGTTATTTATTTTTATGTGGTGCTGAGGATCAAACCCAGTGCCTCACCTGTGTGAGGCAAGTGCTCTGCCACTGAGTCACAACCCCAGCCCAAGAAACAAATATATTTAAAAGCCAAGGTAGAAGCTTTCAGGTGTGTCCTTCCAGTCCTGCCTGCCTGCAATTCCAGTCAGCCTAGAGGCACTGTCATCCAAGAACAGCAAACTTCAGAGGCTCAGAGACAACAGAAACCGGCTGTAAGGTCCTGGGTTCCTGGATGACCACATCATCCACATAACCAGGACCCCTAGGAGAGAAGAGGGCCACCAAATGGGTTGCCTGGTGAGACGGCAGGCACAGGCAGGGACTGGGCACAAAAAACACAGAGGAATAGCTACCTGCTGAAGAAGCCAAAGCAAGTGGAACCAGGCTTGTCACCCAGAAGGTGGAGGCAGCTTGCCCAGCAGGGCTTCCCCTGATGGCCTCCCCATGTCACTCCAAAGCCCCTGAGGTTCCCATGCCACAGTTCTATCTCTGACCATAAACAGCGATAGGAACGATGGGTAACTACGTGCATGGCTTGCTTTTAATCCCCTGGGCTAGCATTAAGGGGGATTAATTAATTGAAACATATTAGCATTATGTTTCAAACCAGGGAAAGCAAAACAACTTGGGAGTTTGATCAATATACTTACAGTAAATAAAGAATTTAATCCCCAAACAACATCCTGAAATAAAAAAGAAAACAGAAAACAAAATTTTAGGCTCCTGCTCAATGAAAGTCTTTAAACCCATGACCAAAAATATGCTTTGTGCCATACCAAAACCTATCCTAAGCACTTTTTTTTCCCCTCAAGACAAAGAGAAAATAACCTTTTTTTTTTTTCAAGTATAATAAGCCAGGAAATTTAGAGACCAAGCAGCCACGGGAATAAATATAAGGTCAAAAGGAACATCAACTGCCTTTCCTCAGACCCAGGGCAGGAGCCCACAGGCCACATGCATGCTTCTGTCACCAACCAACCACTCCCACCAGCCATGACAAATAGGCTTCTGACTTCTGAAAAGTACCTTAAAATAATATCTGTCGTTTTTAACATCAATTGCACTCGGAGCTCATGGATAAACTAATTACCTATGTCCTACTGAGTTCTAATACTTTTGCTCTACTTAACTTCCAGAATCAAGGAAGACTCACGGTTCAAGGACTAGAGATTTTTATTAAAATAAAACTGAAAGCTGCATTGTTCCATCTGTACTGACTCAAGATCTGCAACTCAACTACAAAGTCTTTCTCCCTCTGCCTCTTCATCAGCTAGAGTCTTTCATCTTTTTTAAACTGGATCTCATGATCATCCCATATTCTCTGCTATTTGGTAATTTTTATTTGTCTTCTCTGCTTTCTTTCATCCACCCACCCACTGGCCCAATCCCCACCCTCCTGGTGTGAGCTAGGCCTTGGGCTGGAGCTGGGTGTGGGAATAAGCTCCACTTCTATTGGTGGTGGGGTATCAGACAGAGGGCTGGCCAGCAGGTCAACACCAGAGCACCAATCCTGGGGGAGAGGCCCCACAGTGGAAGTGGCAGTCATTTGAGTGGGGGCCTGCAGGAGGAGCAGGAGTCTGCCAGGTGGAAGTCTGGAGAAGGGGGTACCTACCAGGTAATCTGGCAGACACTAAATCCCGAGAGGACAGAACACATCAAGGGCATGAAGAAAGGTTGGAGAGAAGGCCAAAGCTTGGGAGGAACTGGGTCACAACTGCATGAAGTCTGCAATATTCCCTGACACTGGACTGGGGTCAAAACCCCTTCCCTACACTGTTCTTCCAAAGTGTCAATGTGGTGATAGAAACCCACCATCTGACAGGAGTGATCTACACAGGAAAGACTGCAGCTCTCTCCTGGGCACACTCCTGTTGAATGATCAATGGCTTCCTATGCTGTCTGTTGGTGTGGCTCTGAAACCTGCACTGTGTGCTCCTGTCCCAGGCTCCTGAATGGCACCTGGCACTGGCCAATGAGACTGACCCAACCAGAACAGACTGGAGCCAATGCTTCACCAAGCAGCCCAGGCAGTGGGCAGTGGGGAGAGGAGGAAGCAGGCGTGCCTGGCCACCTGTGTGGGGTGCCAGGTGAGGACCATAGAGGAGGACTTGTGCCCCAAAGGTGCCAACTCTTACCTTTAAGGTTCTCGTGGGAGCCCAGCCAGTGCCATCAATCGAATGTTCTCTCAGTAAACTGAAACAGACACAGAAACACACAGCAGCTAGAAAGGAAGCACCTAAGTTACCTGAGCCAAAGGCACAGCTGGAATACAACTAGAGTCCTCAGCCCACTGTTTTATCTTAGGACAAAAGGAGATCTACTTTTTGGGAAACCTGTCTTTGCTCTGCAGCTTGCTATTTCCTGTCCTGCTGATGGCTGCCTTCTCTACTTCCAAGGTTGAATGCATATTCAGTTATAATGACCTGTGTTATTTTTATTTACTGTACCTTTAATCCTAGCCACAGATGTTTAAAGCATACTTAAAACAACATACAAGAAATATTGGTCAATTTAACATTCAAAAATGATAGCAACAAACATGAAAACAGCAGCTGGGCACAGTGGTGCACGTCTGTAATCCCATGGGGCTTGGAAGGCTGAGGCAGGAGGATCATGAGTTCAAAGCTAGCCTCAGCAACTTAGTGAGGCCGTAAGCAACTCAGTGAGACCTTGTCTCTAAATAAAATATAAAAAGGACTGGGGATGTGGCTCAGCGGTTGAGTGCCCCTGGGATGAGTTGCCCTAGTACCAAAAAAAAAAAAGAAAAAGAAAAGAGCAATAACTAAAGCCCAAAGCTGACCATTTTTGTATCAAGCATAATGGAAAGTGTTGTGTCGTTAAACTTACTTCATGCCTCTGACAACCCGTGAATAAAATGCCAACATTTCCTTGTCTTACAGAGAAAACATGCCCAAGGAGCACGCTTGGCAAGTGGTGTGTCGTTCAAACCCAGAACCTGTGTTCTGAGCCACCACTGATGGGGCTCACCACGATGTTGAGTTCATCACACAGACATTTTGTTATTATTTATGTGGGTGTGGCGGGGGGTAATGTGAATGGAACTCTGATACACCACTACTGAGCTACATATTGCTAAGTTGACCAGGCTGGCCTCACAATTGGGATCTTCCTGCCTCAGCCTCCCAAGCTGATAAAATTATAGGTGTGCACCATCACACTCAAATCACATGACATTTTAAAAACATTTTATTTATTTTTTAGTTTTGTAGTACTAGGGATTGTACCCAGGAATACTTTACCACTGAACTACACTCCTAGCCCTTTATTTTTTTTATTTTGAAGCAAGGTCTTGCTAAGTTTCCCAGGCTGGCTTTGAACTTGCAATCCTCCTGCCTCAGCCTCCTGCATCACCAAGCACCTGGGATTGCAGGTGTGCACTGCAGTACCAGCTCTCACAAGACAAGTTAGTAGATATTTTTTTAAAAACTAAGAAGGGAAAACTTCAGCAGATTAATGCAAAATTCTGGAGAGGATTCACTCCTTGGTTGGAAGGACTGAGCTGCAAGGTGGCACACCATGTTTCAGAGGTGTGGTGGGGTCCTGTTTCTTAAACTGATGCCTGAGGATCATTTTATATCAGCTGCAAATGCACACTGTGTTCTCTCACATATGTTATTCCATACTTTGAAAAAAACTGAGTTACTGTCAAGCTTCTGTTGGAGATAAAGTTATTTTTGCATTTGTTAAATTATTATATTATGCTATTACTTTGATCTGTACATAGAAGTCCCCAGGCTAGCTGTCGATATCAGGCTTTTATAAAAAGGCCATAATTATAAGCTGAGACAATGGTGGGGGGGCAGTATTGGGGATTAAACCCAGAGGCACCTTACCACTGAGCAACATCCCAGCCCTTTTTATTTTTCATCTTAAGACAGGGTCTCATTAAGTTGCTGAGGACTTCACTAACTTGCTGAGGTTGGCTCCAACTTACAGTCCTCCTGACTTAGCAGAATTACAGATGTGAGCCACCATGCCCAGCAAGGCAACTTTTTTTATTAAAATATGTTGAAATCCACATAAGTCGGATTCAGATCAGGAGAAAATAAATACTTAGAATTTGAATCAAAGCTAAAATCTAAATTATCTATGAATATCAGTGAGAAAAAAATATAACCAAATTTAAATAAGCCATTAAAATTTACTTTGAACTTTAAAAAGAACACTCAAATCATGAAACCTAAAAACTGGATAGGCATCTTTCTGCTTCACAGAGATTTCAGTGAATTTGATGTTAGATGAATTAGAAACTTCTACAACTTTTGAATACCTTTTGGGGAACCATCTGTCAAATCCTAGTGGCTTTTACGGTCCAGTACAAGACTATTACTGAGTTAGGGGGGGGGGGCAGTTCTGATCTAGCTCATCCTCTTTTAATGTCACCTTTGGTTAGGTGCTTGTTGGTTTCCTGGACTTACCTACCAAACAGCAAGCCTCATAAGAGCAGGGAATGCAAATTGCTCTCCACCTGCTTAGGCATGATCAGCAGCAGGGAGGGGAGGCAAGCGAAACAGAGGGAGCTCAGGTTAATGAGACGCCTGTCAGTGTCCTCGTGGTTTTGCCAGGGCAGGAAAACTTCACACATGGAAGCAGGTACCTGGGAAGCAAGTGCCACTGGGGAGGCTAGGTTCAGGGTCTGCTGGCCATGGGTCTTATCAGCCTGTGGGCAGCAGTGAGGCTCTCAAGGTGTGGTGCTCTAGTCACTGAGGAAGTTCTAGCCTGGCCTCAACAGAGGGTTGTCCAACTATCAGGTGCAAGACTTACGGTCATCAGGTTACTAAGAAAAGAATCAGAGAACACCTAGGGCCTGAAAGCCTGGACTCTGGAAGAAAAAGGCTGAAGCACAATCACTTAGCTCCTGACCTTGGGCCTTCCAATCCCCCAACAAGGGGTTTCTGACCCTTTGCCAGGAGCAGAGTGAGGGCCCTTCAAGACCAGGCAGCCCCTTGAGTAGGGCACATAAGTATGACAGGGCCGATCAGAGCAACCCTTTAAAGAGGGAAGTGGTCCTGCACACTAATTGACATGTGTCCCTCTGGATCCAGGCGCTACTCAAGCCTGCTGGGAAGAACAAAGGTGGAGGATGCCAGTGAACTCTGCACACTACAGGCATGCCTGGCTCTCTCTCCTTTATCCAGGAGATGCACGGTCAGGCCCTACTACTGCAAAGATACTGTCTACTTTTCACCAACAATGAATTGGCCCTTGTACACACGATGATATTGTTTTCTTAGGTTAATTCCCTAGAAGAGCAGGAGACAAGTCCAAGGGTAAAAACAAGTTATAGGGAGACCATGTTGCTGCAGGACCTAGAAGAGCTGTACAAACACGCACCCTCCAGCTAAGAGCCTGCTCAGGCCCACCCACTCCCAGCACTGCTTCAGTGTTGGCCATCTGACAGCAACCCGCTGCACCTCGTGGTGTTTCTGTGCCTTTTCCTGGTCACCAGTAAGGCTGAGCATCTGCTTCTCCTGTGAATCACCATGTGTGATGCTACTCATTTTTCCAGGGGCAGTGCCCATCTTTTGCGTGAGTGGTAAGTATGATTTACACACAGAAATCTTTCGTCTTTCAATACTGTGCTTATGTGTTTTTAGTTTTAACATGGTTCAACTGGGCAATGTTCTATTAAGGTTCCTGGCTTTTGTCTCAGGCTGCCACCTGCTAGCTGCTGCCATACTTTGCTAATAATCTGGTTTCCCAAAAGACACCACAAGGGTAGGATTTCCTATCCTGGTCCCAATTCTAACAGAAGCAGGAGACACCCACGGAAGCAGAGTGAAGCGAGTCCCCTGGAGTCAGAGGGCTGTGAGCAGGGGAAGCTGAGAGGGGCTCACACCTGCAACTAGGGACTTCAGATTCTAAGGTTTCGATGCTTAAAGGAAACATACTTTAAAAGTCATGCCTGGACATAAAATGTAAGTTTAACTATCTATCAAAATAAGACTGGCAAGAAAGGAAACAGCACACATAAAAATGGATTGGGCCAGTGGGCACGGACTGCACTTTTGAGCCAGAAAAGGTCTAAAAGGTTTCCCAGTAGCTCAGAGCCACATACATTCTGTTTCCTTCCAAAGTGGTAAGTGTTTACTGAGAGGAAAGAGGAGTGGGAGAAAAGGACAGGGAGGCCATGACCAAGAACAGCCTCCAACCAAAGCATTTCATACTACCCAAGATATGTGCTCGAAAACGCACACTGCCTCCTTTCCTAGCACAGTAGAATATGAGCACAGAATACTTAGCCTGCCCAAGTCCCACGGCTGCCAGAGGTGGTTCTCTAGTTAAATCCACTTGGTCTGAACAATTAACATCACTGCCTTACTAAGAAAAGGAGATGATATGCAGAAAAAGAAAGTCCAAATGATAAATTTACTTCAAAAACAAAAAGTAAAAAAACCTAATCCACAGATATTCTCCAGTTCTCTCCCTTAGAGACCAGCACCCTTTGAAGGGGCACAAGCCCTCACTTTGTGCCACTAGAAGAATGAGACACACAGGGCCACATGCTTATAGGGAAGCTGTCACTTCAGAAGGGCTCCTACATGTATCACATCCATTCTGGGGATTGAACCCCTCAAGAGTGCTCTACCACTGAGTTGTACCCCAAGTCTTTTTCTTTTTCTGAGTCAGGGTCTTGCTAACTAGTGGTCCTCCTGCCTCAGTCTCTGGAGTAGGTAGGAATACAGGCAATCACCACTGCACCCCACTTATCAAGCCCATTCTGGTACAGAGTACATCCAAGGCAAGCACTGAGGACAGCTTAGCCTGTCACCTACACTTTTTCTCCTGGGCTTCATTAATCATATTTTCCCTTCTTGCTAAAATCAGCAACATCCAGGGAATGTGACCTCTCACTAAGGGAGGTGGCAGAAGGGCAGTGGCCTCCAACAGGTACATCCCGTACTGAAGGCCAGCAGGGCTTTGGCCACAAAATGCAGCGCAAGGATGCCATCTGCAGGCACAGTTGGAAGACAAGGCTTGGAAGCAGCTGTTTCAGTGAACCCCAGACCTTTCCTACTCTTGGCCAAGCTTCAAGGTCTCCTCTGAGAGGAGATGTGATGCAAAGAGACCAGCACTCACCCAGTGTCCAGGAGAGCATGAGAGGGAGAAGGCTCACCTTAGACATATTTCCCCTGTCTCTGTGATGTTGGGGTGCCAGATCCTGGTCAAGCATTTCACTTTGGGAGGCTGCAACATAAAGAGAGAGAGATGTCACCACAACAACCTCTCTAGGTCACACCCGTGGCCCAAGCCTTTCCACGTCCCCATCTGGCCATAATTTCAAGGCTTGCCCAACATGTAGGCTAACTTTCCAGGCTTAACTCAACCCTGAATGCTGTCCCAGTTGCCTAGGCAGGACAAGTGCTCCTCTCATGAGTCTAACCACACCTCTCTACAAGGGCCATGTCCTGAGGGCCCTGGACACAGGGCTGTGGAGCCAGAGTCTGCAGTACATTCCAGGGAAAGTTCCCATGCCCTCCTGGCCGCAGCTCAACACACTCTTTTGAGTACCAAGCTGCTGAGCCACAGCTGAACGTCACTGCTCCTCACAAGACCAGCCGGTTACCCTGGCTGTGTGCTTCTGAAGGTGCTAATGCTACGTACATTTTCCTAAAGAATAGTCCCAGTCCACTTAAAGAGGGGGAAGAATGAAGAGGCCCATGGGCATGAAAGGTACCAACATCATTCACAACTTGGCATGTTAGAATAAAGTTCTTCTCTCTATTTTAAAAGTAAATCACACTCGTAATTAAAGGGAGAACAAAAATGAAAGGAAAAACACTTATTTATATAATATTATATGCATAATTACATAAATGAAGTTAAGTTTCCTTTCACTTGTTTTTATAATTGTACACACTCACAAAATAATTCCACCCAGAAATAATCTCCACTCACAGCTAATGCATTCTTCTAGGCCTCAGACACACATAGGTGTGTGTGTACAGCATTTTTCTTCACAGGAGTGGGAACACGTGCTGCATCTCTTTCTATCCCAGCGACCACCTCAGGCGACCTTCCTGCATTCCTGACGTCTAACAACACTGCTGGGCGGTAGGCAGGTTCCCACCCCCACTCCAAGCCATTCCACACAGTGCTTATATCTTTGCTCACATCCTTGTAGGAAATAACTCCTCAGGATGAAGGCCTGAGAGCGACACTGCTCGGGAATCCTAGCTCTCATGCAGTGCTTTGTGTCCTTCAGGAGGCCAAGTCGCCTCCCACGCAGGGAGGCAGAGGGGCCCTCCTGCAGTCCCCTGTGGCTGGTATGTAGTAAGCATCCGGGCACAGTCTCATCAGAATCTCATCTCATAAAGGATCAACCATTTGTCAAATGGGGTGACATGCTCCCTGCTTGTCATTTAGTATTCAATTTTATTTATGCTGCTTTCTGAGGTGTGAAAGGTTTTTCTTTTAATCTTTGGGATCAAAATTTCTCTTCTGATATCGTACTTTAAATGCCTTTCACCATCCAAATACTCTCCTTTTACTTTTTCTAATACTCACAGTTTCACTTTTATTGTATAACAAACACTGTTTTCTACCTGATACCAAAACCACAAAATCATGTGATTAAATCCACTGTGCAAACTTACATGTCTGAGGGTGAAAGCATTTAGGTTGAGTTTAAATACATTTCACATGCTCTCCTTTGTTTTCTGCAAATAAGTAGGAATGCATTTAAACGTGTCGTGTCTGGAATAAAGCTGACTTGATGTTTACTTCCAATAAGGTGTTTAGGCTGAGGAGGAGGGTCAGAGCTGCACCCCTCCACACAGCTGGATAGAGCCACAGTCCGGGGTGGGACAGAAAGGAGTGGCCAGCTTGACGCTCTTCCAGACCAAGCACCTTTTCTGGAGCATTCCTGGAGCTGAGGCTACTAGAGCTCCCCAAGTGTCTTGTTTGTCCTTGCTTCTCCTCGCCCCACAGCTCCCCCAAGCAGAGGCTGACACAGACACCTCCTCTATCCCTGGCGCCCTTTAACTGTGAGGCTGTGACAGGGCGGAGCTCTGCGTTAGAAATGTGGACCTGGACTCTGAGACCCAAAGTGTCCAACAGCACCTTGTCTCACGAGTCCTTCCCTCCCTCACTCTTGGATCCCCCTTCGGTGCTTGGCACCCATTCATACAGCTAAGAGCTTAACTCTGCATTACACATCAACAAGGAAAATGGGATTATTCAGTGGACCCCCGGCTAACGATTTGGAAAAACAGGTCCCCCTTACAGCTTTATTCCAGACACAATAAAACTAAATGTAAGGTGGGCACAGTGGCACACACCTAAAGTCCCAGCAACTTGGGAGACCAAGGTAGGAAGATCGTAAGTTTGAGGCCAGTCTCATCAGTTTAATTCTTGTCTCAAAATTTAAATAAATAAATAAATAGGGGGTGGGGATATGGCTCAGTGGTAGAGTATTCCTAGGTTCAATCCCTAGTACCACGCTAGGGGAAAAAAAAATGCCAAAGACCATTCATAGTCTAGAATATCTAAAATGTTTGCCACTTTGCCCTTTACAGAAGGTCTGCTTTATAAGCTATCCAAAAACCAGCCATCCAGTGGCCAACAATACAGGGCTGGCTTAACCCAGTACACACTGTACAATGAATGTTTATTGAAGTCACTATATATTCCAAGCACATGGTACAGAGCTCATTTTATAGTGTCCTCACAAAACTATATACTTTGAGCAGGAATAAGATAATGCTTGCCAAGGAGTCCTATGCCATTTTTTCCAAGGAGGTGCATTTGAGGCACCCTTGCTAATGAGGCTGTGACCATACAGTAAGTGTCTGTCACATTGTGAGTTGAGGAGTCCAAGCTGCCAGGCTCTGTGTGGACAGCTCCATGCAGAGACCCTGAGCTTTCCTGTGACCTTGTTTCCAAAGGGGGTCACTGGTGATCAACATTCTGTTCTACACAGCCATGCCATCTCAGTTTCAAAGTACAAATACAATGAATGAAATGAAGAGAGGCAAGTGGGATTCCAGGAGGTACCTGCAGTCATCGTGGTCATCTGAGTGTCTCTGGCTTCCCTCCCTCGGTGCACAGGGCGGAAATGGCCAACAACAAACAAAGCGGCATGACACGAGTCACTTCCAGGAGGAAACCAGAGAAACGAGTACAGAGCCGTTCTTTTTCTCCTGCTTCTCAAATCTGCCTGGTGACCAACACTCAGGCTGTCAGTACTCTTCTGGGGTCCACTCTACCCAAGGAATCAGCTTCCAGGAGTCCTGCTTCTGTGTCCAGGGTGACCGGAATTCCTAAGGGCCTACAGTGCCTGATACTGCAGGAGCTCAATAAGTGTCACTAAACCAAATCAGCCAGTTTCTAAGATTGAGAGATGACAAGGCAGGCTTCAGGCGTGAGGAAAAGTTCAGAGACAAAGGGACAGGAAGAAAACAACTCACCAGGAAATCTGAATTCTAGTTGCTGGGATGTGGGAGCATGTGTGTGGATGGATACTGAATGGACACTTTTCTTTGCAAGTTTTTCTAAAATTATGATTTACTTTATTAATTAAAAGTTTTTTTCAATTTATAATCCATATAACCAACCTTCACTGCAAAAACCATAACTCTTGGGTGTTTGAAGTCTTCATGAAGTACAGAAGTCACGTGAGCAAAGCCGTGGCACAGGAGTGGAGGAACCAACGCGTCCCCAGCCTCGGGTCTGACACTGCCAACAGTGGAGCCGTCTGTCCAGGCTCACACTCATGACCTCTATCCAAGGACTTGCAGCCTGGCCCTTGCACATGTTGGCTTCTTTTTGTTTTCTACAGTATTAAGCAGAGAGTTGAGCTCCAGAAATATGAGCAACAGGTGCCTAAGAAGACAGGCACAGGCTACGCACTGGACACGCGTCTGAAAGATAGCTGCAGGCTCCTGCCAGGAGCTCACAGGCTAGAGGGAAGAGGCTAAAGAACTCTATAAGGAAAGATGAATTATAAACGCTTTTGTATTCAACTCAGCACTGCACCTCCTGGTCTCCTGGAGACCCCTTGCTGTGGACCCCACATTTGCCTAAAGAGAGCAGAAACAGTCAGGAACAAAGGCCACCCCAGTCTTCTGGGTGTCTTTGGGCAGAGAGCATGACACCTGGCCAGCCCATCTCTCAGAACACTGCCAGAGCAGCAGCAATGAGACCAAGGAAACACAGAATAAGGGTGACAAGCCAATGGCCAGACACTGCATGGGATCTGTAGCACGGCTGCAGGACGATGCACCTCTGCTCTGTTCGGGGACTGTAATGGGCAGGACTGCGGAGCAGAGGCCCACAGCATGGACAGCAGAGTCAACCTCTGGGACAGACTTCAATTCTTGAGGGACACAAGACACAAAGGTTCAGGGGTTTTAGCCACAGTATACTCCATTTTCCTGCAATTCTCTCCGCTTCTCAAAGTCACATGTGGGTGGAACAGAATGACGGACATTACCAGGTGTAGACAAAGGGAAGGGCGCACATTTACAAGCTGGGCAGCCCTGCACATGCACTGGCCTCAGCAATTCAGCTGTCTGCACTGGCAAAACTAGTTAGTAAGTTTTGTTTTGTTTGGGGTTCTTTGAGACAGGGTATCATTATGCTGCCCAGACTGGCCTCAAACTCCTGGACTCAAGTGCCCTCCCACCTTATCATCCCGAGGAGCTGGGACAACAGGCGCATGACACCTTGCCCAGCTTTGATTAAGTTTTAAAAGTTAACCTGCTGAGCTCTAACTCACTACCATATAAAGAGACTAGAATATTACGACCAGCCCCTGAACAATGGTGGAGGATCGACAGAGGTGACCTGAACAGAAACCCTGGACATAGACATTCTGTCACGACTGCTCCCACCTTCATGTTTCTCACGCTTTGCTTTCTTTCTATAACAAGAACAACAACTTTACAACTAAATGGCTCCTCAAGGCCTGCTGGAGAAGCACACGGGCTCATGCTAAACTTCTCCCTCAGCTAGCCAAAGGACAGTGACATGAACTTACCACCTTTAATTCAGTAGTCCTAATTCTTTTGAGGTACAGTCTACAGAGGTGGCCTATATCCAGCCTAGAATTTTACATTCTATACTCCTAGGTTTCCAGAAGTCAAACTGTCTCCAATTCTAAATACCTGGACTTAAGCCAAACAACCTCCCAAGCTGCCTCAATAAGGTTTTTGGTGTGTAATCTGGAAAAGGTGGAAAGTCTCAGTGGGTAACTGATGGGCTAGACAAACACCTGAAATACACATGCTTTGTTTAAAAATTAAATTTCTTTTTTCCCCTTAAATTGCCAACTATCCCTCATCTTTATAAAGAACTCTTAACATAGTAGTGCAGCAAAAATCAATTTCTAGAGATTAAAGTTTGGCTTCAAACAAGAGTTGCAGCTCTGAGCTGTAACCTGGCGTGGGATGGGAGATAGAAGAAAGCCAGCGGCCACAAGCAGAATAATGGGGCACATGGTGTCCCCAGGCCCACATCCTTAGGCCAACAGGAGACTCCATCTTGTCCCTGTTCCCCCACAGATTTCTCTTACACCCCTGCACTCTGATCCTGTATTAAGCATACACCTTGATACCACAGGCACTGCTGTGGGCACAGCCTGAGGTGTGTCACCAGGCGCAGCCTTTTCCCCTCTGCCCCGGGCCCAGAATCCTCCACAGCTTCTCGCTGCCAAATCGAAAAGGCCAACAAACCAGAGACTTCTTGTTGTTTTCTCCATTATTTCTTGACTCCAATTTTTTCTCTGCCGAATGGCCCCCTGCCTTCCACGGGGGAAGCTCTTCCACACCTGTGACCACAGATCCACACATTCCCAGCTCACCTGGAGCACCCTCCCCCCACTATGGGCCAAATCAGGACAACCCAAATCTGGTTCTTTAGAAGTCACACTGGTCTTCACCACGTTCCAAAAGTGACCTCCTTCCCTTCTCTGAACGCCCACACATTGGCTCCTGTCACCATCAGCCTGTCTGCTACTTACCACTTTCAGTGCTTCATTGGCTTTTTACCCTTTATTTCACCTCCCTAATGGTTCTGTTAGTTCTCAAAAGCCAAGAGAGATGTGATAGTATTTGGTATCGTTATTATCTAGGAGGGTCTTTGAGGGATTAACATGTACCTATGGGTAAAAACTACTCATAGCTTACAACAAGCTATTATTCTCTCAAAGTCTAAAGTACCTATGTTATGGACTTCTGGAACTTTGGTGTTATACCATAAACAAAACTAGTTTTAAATTAAAAATATACTTTTTTTTCCTTTCTTAATAAGTAAGATTTTACGTGAAATACACAGGCCGACTGCCTGGCACATAACATTCACAACCACTTGTTGAACAAATGTATTTGTCTACTGCATTAAGTATGACTGATGAGTGAATTCACCACAGAAACACTAGCAATCTTGTGCTGGGTCCCAGGGCGTGAGGAGGGGCAAAGGCCCTGTGTGGCCACAGGCCTCCTGGCAGACACCCCCTGGGTGCAGGAAGACAAGGTGCAGGTGCAGGCTACTCACCACCATGTTGTATGCGTCAGGAACTTCAGTTTCAAACTGAAATTTTCCACCCTGGTAGTAACCCTCATCTATCAAAAAACACAAAACAAAATAAAAAAATCCTTTAAATTAAAAAAAAAAAAGAGGAAACAAAAAACAAATACTACATTAGGATATGGCAAACACAGAATAAGAGGTTACAATGAGGGCTGCAGTGTTCCTTAGCCAAAGGCAGGCACATGGGCAGGGCCTTCCCCTGACCTGGGCAACAGGGGATCCACCTGGATCGCACAGTGAAGAGCAGCATTCTCTGGGGGCCTGGCTGCTCGCCAACCCACGTCCTTTCTGCTCCACGCTGTTATAGATGTGCACCCTCCTAACCTTGCCTCCTGCTTGAGTGAGCTCCTCTGATTCCTCCTGGCCTCTCCAGCACTTGCATGACTTCTAGCCACTGGGCTTATATTTGCTGAGTATCCTCTCTCTGCCAGGCTTGGGGACACAGCCGGGACCTAAACTGCTTCTTCAGTGAGTGCTTGGTGCAGCTTCAGAGCAGGCCCTCAGAAAATGGGGGCTGGTGGGCTACAGGATAATGTCTGGGCCCCGGGTTCACAGACACCGTAGGCAGTCCCTTCTCTCCCAACTGCACTGTCTGGGTGTCAGGAAATGGCTATAAGTGCTGTTGCCTGTAGAGGGCGCTCCAGCATGGATAACCAGGAAAAAGACTCCCAAACCTCAGACTGTTTTCAAACTTTGAAATGTGCCACAGTTAGCAACATTATAAAACCAAGGCTCAACTTTCCCCCAAACATCTACCACCATGAAAAAATCTGCAATATGGGTGTGTGTGATTGCACACACATGGGAGGTGGAACCCAGGGCTTCCTGCATAGGAAACAACTGTGTTACCACAGAGCTACATTGAGCCCTAAGGTTTTGATAGGAAGCAATTGGACACAAGATGAAGAAGAGAAATGCTATTTCTCTTTTATTTTAAATTCATCTGCTGAACACCAGTGAGGCTGCAATTTATTTTAGATTGCTTGTCATTCGTACTTTTTCTAAGAACTGAATGATCAATATTCATTAACATGTTACTAAGGTGTTCATCTTTTGATTATCAATATAAAAAGATTCTTAAGAGAATTAGCCTTTGCCTAATTTTTGTTAGCAATTTTTGTTAGTCTGCTGTTTGCCTTTTGATCTTGTTATTTCTCAACACTAGTATTCCATCTTTAAGAAATCAGTCTTTGTTCGTTTTATGTCTTTAATATCATGCTTGAAAATCATCTTTTCCAACCAAGATTATACAAATGCTCTCCTACATTTTATTCTGGTAATTTGGTGATTTCACATGTTATATTTAATGAGACCACTAGCTCATTACACAGAATAAGGTGTTATTATCTTCTAATTGGATGCCTAACCACACCGTCCCTACAGCATTTACTATTCCATTCTTCCAGCACTTTATTTTATATATTTCTGATTCTTAAAAATATATCTGGATTTGTGACTGATAGTATAAACTCTTTGGAAAAGATATTTGTTTGGAAAAATGTTAAACTCCAGATACGAGAATTTTTAAAAGTGGCACCTTATGTATAAAACAGGTGGAGTGCACTCTTCTTCACCAAGGACTCTGTGGATGTGGGTCTCCCTGCTGACCTTGACCACTGAGGCAGGGAAGCCTACCACTAGGCTCATCAACACTGCAGGTGCACAGCCCACTCTGTGCTGACCCTGCAGAACCAACTGTGGCCCACGTCACACACCATGGCCTATCCATGAGACTGCCCAGCCACGCCATCCCACCACACTGAATTTCTCTCTGGTTGGCTTCCTGTTTCACTGATTCAATACATTTCAACTCTGTTGCCCACCAGTTTCAAAGTTTGGACTTTGAAACGTGGTTCTAATTTCATCATGTTCCTTCTGTCCCAACCACTTCTCAGTTAATAATTGTCCAAATTGTATCTTAACTCACTGCAAACCAAGAACAGAGTGTTCTAATTTCTTTCTTTTTCAAAAAACAAATCTGAGGAAAATCACCTGCTTCTGAATCAGTGCTTCCTTTCTCCCTGAAGCTGCACAGCTGCTGGCCCCAACCAAGGTTGCTTAGTAATGACCAGATCTGCCCAGAAGTCCCAACGCCCAGCTCACAGGCAGTGGGGAGACCCGGAAGCAACTTGCGCCCTAGGCGTTCTCTGTGGTGACTCCAGACGCAGAGCTCTCCACTCCCTCTGCACCAGCCTCTACAGCCTGCACCACCCCACCCAGCACTCCAAGCTGGCAATCAGAGGGCTCAATCAGCACCTGATTGTGTGAACATGGCCCTGGGCACTGTTTCCAAATACAGACAGGCCGACTCTATTACTACCCATGGCTGCAGACACTGAAAACGTTCTGCTTCTCAGCAAAGGGGGCTTTAAAATGCAGTAAGGAGACACAGCAGGAGAAAGCTCCAGGCTGCCCACTAACAAATTCTCGCTCCCGGAGCTCTGGAGCCTACTCCCTCCTGCCTTCAAGGGACCACACATGGGCATCTTCAAAGGAGATTATGGGATAACCCTGGAGAACAAAGCTTCCCAAAGGGCACAACATCCTCAGGCTCCACCTGGAGAAACCTGGACCCTGTGACAAAGGGACCTATTTCAGTCTTTCTCCCACCTTTAAAAGAAGACCTATGCTCCTCCACCCTCTCAGGGGAAGCTCTGCTTCAAGGCGTAAACACTCCACGAGGGCCAGAGGACCAGTGGTGGGGCCGGCCAGCTGGTGGAGGAGCTGTGGAGAACTGTTTCTCCCTTCTCACACCCATTTCTATAAGGGTAAAGTGCGGCACCATAAATAAAACAGTTCGCTCTGGAATGTCCTGCGTTCAGATACAGGGAGTCTGGTGGCAGGGGCCATTAAAACTCCAATCTAGATCACTGTAAAGAAGGCACCCCCACCCACGAGAGGCAAGCAGCGAATGCCAATGAGGCAGCCTCGGTGCATTCTGCTACCAGCACCCGGCTCATGCCTCCCCTCCCTGAAGGGAATCAGATGGCTGTCGAGGTATGCTTAGTGGTGGAAAGTTAAGCAGGACTTTGAGAGCAAGTGACTAGTTTGACAATTAATGAATTTGGCAGATATTTCTCATAAAATGAGCCAAATCTACAGCTCCAACTTTTAGATAAAAATACAAAGAGTGTGGTACCATTTTTTTTTTCGATATTCTATTGGTAAAGATATGTTGAAGTTAAGACTATTGTAATTTTCTCAACTCTTGAGTCGTTCAGGTAAAGTGAGATGCACTGAAAGAAAGTGGCAGGTGGGACTCATGGTCAGCTGCTGGGCCTGGAATACTGGGTGGCAAAGCCTCCTCCAAGTTAGGCGTTTCTAATTCTCTGTTTTCAACACCGCTGAAGAGGGCACCTAGTTTAGGAGTCAGCTGAACAATTCTGAAAATACCTGCTCGGATTATTGGTTTTAACTTTGAACTTAACTGCAAAGTCGCCAAGTTAGAGCTACAACAAATCCCCTTCCAAGACTGTCTCCTTATTTATGTGAACTGGCAATTCTCAGTATTTATATCTATAAAGACAAATAAATGAAGAAACTGGTATTTAAACACTTATTCCTGTTGTGCATTCACAGAACATGTCCTGGAATGTCCTGCGTTCACAGAACATGAAATGCTAATTTATGTTTAAAACATCAAAATTTACAACCTACTGCTTAAATTCATCATTCCATTCCACGCGTCCTTGATGAGTGACAACTATGTGACAGACATTGTTCTAAGCACTGGGGACATGTCAACAGGGGACAATGCCTGCCCATGGGAAACTTACATTCTAGTGGCAGAAGAGAAAGTCATCGAGTACAGCCAACAGAAGGAGAAAAGGCAAGGAAGGAGGAGGCTGGAGAGACTGCATCTCACATGGGACACTGGCAGGGGTGGCAGATGAAGCAGCAAGAGGCCTGGCATTCTCAGAACAGCACAGAGGCCAACGGGCCAGAGAGGGAGGCGGCAGCAGAGGCAAAGAGGTCAGCAGTCCATGGTGACAAGCAGACTACCTGCCAGGAGGCTGGCTGATTCAGGGGGAGACAGGAACCATGAGAGGGATCTGAGCCCAGGAGGGCAGGGTAGGTTGCAATCATCCAGGTGAGCGATTAGAGGGTTAGCCCAGAGCGGGCAGTGAAGGGACACTGAGATGGGAGCAGCACCAGGATCTGCAGACAGATCAGGAGTGGGGCAGGAGAGGGAAAGTAGTCAAAGAAGATGCTAAGGTCTCTGACCCTGAGTTAAACGACATCCCAATGGAGTGGGCAGCTGATGGGTCCTGTGTGCAGGGGGTGGGGGGCGGCAGCGTGGTTGGGCCGCAGAGAGGAGTTTGAGAGCCTTTCAGTGTAAGAGCACTTAACTTCAAAAGATGAGGTAGGAAAGGAAGATGAGCTGATGAGCTTGGGAGACCAGACGGAGGAGGGGCAGCCAACAAGAGGAGGAGAGCCAGAAGCCTGAGTGCTGCTTAACATGCTTCCCAGCAAAGGGACTTGTGAGCAGCTCCATCTATCTATTCTAGAATGACAAACACTTGTAAGCACAAACATTTTCACCTTAGACTGAAATTCTGTAGAACAAATGAAACGAACGTAATGATGCCAGGAGGATAAGTGGCAGCAGGAATCCATCCTGCAGTGCAGCCACTCACTCTGCACACCTGGGGTAGCTGCATGCATGGTGCTGGATCCGACTCTGGAAACATTTCCAAGAGTGATGCCATACTTTGATTTTTAAATGGCAAAATTTCTGCACACTAGAACTTCTATCTTATGCAACATTGGGGGCATGAGGAGTGGTCAGGGCAACAAGAAACCCTGAGCCAGGGCTGGGAGGCAAGCAGGAACAGGAAAGTTGACACTGGGCCGAAGACACAGTCAGCTATCTATTATGAAGAGGTGCGAGGATTTAGAGGAGTACATGAACATAATGAGGAAAAAAAAATGGACAATTAGAAAAAAACAAGACAAATGGAACATCAGTAGCTGGAAACATGATAATCTGAAATTTAAAATTCACTGGACGAGCTTCACAGCGAGCAGACAC